CTTGCTCAGCGAGTGAGTAAACAGATATGTAGAGACTGGTGTGATGATATAACGAATCTACTTTCCTACCCTAACTTGGAAATTAATTACTTTCCTTTCTTTTTTTTAATTTTCCTGTTTCTAGTCAATTTTACCCTTTTTTCTTTTCCTTTTCTTAATCAAATGCCCTTTTTTATTAATGGAATACATGTATGATGATTATTTGGGTGATTGTTTTTGCTTTTTAAATCTCCTAGACTTTAGGGTTTAAAGAAATCGTGATCAATCGCGGATCGTATCAACTAATTATCAACCTTACTGTACCCATTTTGTGGTAGATTTACCAGGTCAATCAATATTGTTCTACAACTTGTAAATCTACTGTATATAAAAAAATTGAAGCAAAATCCAAACCAGAAAAAAAAAAGTACAAAAAATCTTAGAACCAGAATGTTCATCATCTAACTGCAGAATGAGCCCACCATTTAAGATTGTCTTTCATGTCAATTTCATTCTCCAATGCAGGAAACCTCCAATTCATCGATGGCTTCTCTATCTTCCTCTTCTCCTTGACCTCCCAAGCTTCAAAAAGGTACGGCCTTGTAATTGCATACTCATCAAAACTCTCATCTCTGCTATCATCCTCTTTCCCAATCTTTGCAGCCCAGAAATGATTCTCTCCAAGAACCCTTCTGGCAACACACCCTCCAAATCAAAGTCGTCAACTCCGAGGACCTGCTTTATTTTCGCATCAACCAACGGCTTCAACTCCGTGGTGATATTATGTTTGCCAATATCAGTAAGTAAATAACACCTTAAAAAAGTTTCTCAAAACAGAAAAGAAGCAATGCTTTACCTGACTAGTGCATTGTAACGACATAATTTGTTGCTTTTGTAAATTTTCCTGCCAATGGAAAATCGGATTGCATTAGTATCAAGAGGTGCAGTAGCATCAGAACTAAAGGTAGCACAAGGTCACTTGAAAACTACAGAGGAAGGATACTCAGAAAATTATTCACTCCTCATTTGTATGTAATTGTCAATGCTTTCTTGCTAAAACTCCAATGATGTCATACTCACTACTATTCACATACATTCCTAAATTAATAAGTAATCAAATTACAAATTGCTACAGTCTAAGGCAGTACATCGTTTCCGCAACTTACAATTATCAGTGACAACATTTCAGTAGCATATAATATTGGAAAGCTAGGCCAATAACAATAATCAAATAATTTAAAAAATAAAATTAAAAATTTTGAACCAGACAATAAGAACACTTCATAGTGCTAACCCTGTCAAGCGCAAGAATTCTAACATCGGGTGGGTATATACACTAAATTTCTTCATATGAAACCTACACTTGGATGCAGAGGATACCTTATGTGTTCGAATCTGGTTAAGCGATTCTCTAAGTGAATCTTCCATTTGCCCCAACTGTTCTACACTGTTGATCTTATCAGGGCTAGTAGAATTCAAGATTGGTAAAACATTTATTTAGGGGGGCATAGACCATAGTAAAATTTCACTGGAACATAAATTAATGAAATGTAAAATATGGCTCTCCAACCCTAATTTTCAGGTATTCACCTTAGTCTCTTTTTTATTTCGGAAAGTTGGGTTTGCAATAAGCTAGACTGGTTACTCAAGTCCTGTAGAAAAGAGAGAGAGAGAGAGAGAGGAATATAAAAAGCATACAACAATGAAAAGTTAAGACCAAGAGACTCGAATGGTGAAATATCACATTGGAAATATGGGTTTGCATTCTTACCTCAATCGTTTGAGAACTGAAACAAAAAGATCTGCTTCCATCGATGGCGAGGCAGCTGAAAAAAATCTGGGCTGAAACAAAAAAATGGCGTGGAAGAATAAATAGGAGAAGAAGCAACGGGGAAGGAAGGAAGGAGAGAGACTCTCGTATGCTACAATTACCATTTAATTTCAGATTTTTTATTTATTATTAGTTTATTAAATAGTTTTTAATTTAAATTAAATTATGATTAATTTAGATGATGTACAACTACATCAGATGTCACATAATGTGGTATATTAATGTTAGCATTGTTGTTTTTTTTTAATTTTCCTGTTTCTACTCAATTTTACCCTTTTTTTTCTTTTCCTTTTCTTAATCAAATTCCTTTTTTATTAATGGAATACAAGTATGATGATTATTTGGGTGATTGTTTTTGCTTTTTAAATCTCCTAGACTTTAGGGTTTAAAGAAATCGTGATCAATCGCCGATCGTAGCAACTAATTATCAACCTTACTGTATCCATTTTGTGGTAATTTTTTTTACCAATTGGTAATGGTATGCTAATGTTTTTTGAAACAGTTTTATGTATTGCAAATACAAAAACGGGTGAAAATTGCGTTCAGCTGATTGTTTTGGTAAAAATAAACTTAGAAAACAATATGTTTTCTTTGTTTTCAAGAACAGTTTCCAAAAAAATAGAAAATAAAATATACATTGTAAAACAAAGTTAGAGATTTAATAAAATCATGTATGCCGCCGCCACCACCACAACATTCTCCACCGTCTCACCACTATCACGACCATCTTTGACACCACCACCTCCCACCACAATTACCGCCACCGCCATCACCCTTGTCGCCATGGCCACCACCACATCTACCATCTCACATTCATCACAACTGACAATACTACCACTTTTTCACCATTACCACATGCACCTCCGGTGCCATGACTGCTACCACAACTAACATTAACACCACCATATTAACCACCACCACCATTGTCATCACCACCTTCGTTGTGTCACCGCTACGACCACCACCACTGCCACCAACTTCTACCACCTTTGCCACCACCACCATCACATTCTCCACACCATTACCCTCACTACTACCACCACTGCTACCACCACTCCAACCACCATTGCTACCAACACTACTCTCGTCTCAACCACCATCTCTATCACCACCATTACTATGAAGTACAATTTTTTTTTTCTGACATTTTTGATATTGGTAAGACGTGTTTTCATTCTAAAAAATCATTCTCGGATTAAACTACCAAATGCATTCTCAAATCATAAAAAATGCCAACATTTTTGTTTTACAAAACCGTTCTTCACAAGTCATTTTGCAAAATGTTACCGACGAGCCCTAATTTTTCTATTCTTTTGGAATATGTTCTTTTTACAAAACGTTTCCAAAATTTTGGATTTATTATAAGAGAAAATTGGAGCAATGGTCCTTGAATTTTGGACCAATTGGAGCTATGGTCCACAAACTAAAAATTTATGAGTCTTGATCCCTCAACTTGCCATAATGTGGAGCAATTATCTTTTTGGGTAACCTATTAAAAATTCCATCTAAAATAAAGATTTTATTTTATTTTATTTTAGGGTAAATTATACAAAATTACCTCAACTATTGGGTCAATCACAGTTTCATACCTCATCTTTAAAACATTTCAACGTCATACCTTATCTTTGAATTTATTGCAATGTCATACCTTCTGTCAGTTTGTCTATCAATTCATCCGTTAAATGCTGACGTAGCTTGAGGTGGGGCCCACTTCCTATTAAAAAATTAATTAAATATTAAAAACTAAGAAATAAAATCATTTAGTAATTTTTTTAAATGGGGAACCCACACCTACAAACCCATCACCCCTTCTTCCCATCCACCTGTGTCCCCCCAACCTTCCTTCACCACCAAAACCAGAACCCCACCACCGCCCTCTCATCCTCCATCTCCACCTCCCTCCCATGGCACTCCTCCCCCTCCCCCTCCTCCTACACACCCATCACCCTCACCAAATTAATATGTGTAACCAATTTCAAACAAAATACCTCAATTCCATCCAAACCTTAACCCTAAATTTCAAATTCTTAGCACTAATCATCCCTACAACAATGTCCACAACACCACCACCGCTGTCTCCCACGGCTTTAGTCTCCACCACCACCGCCTTTGCCCACGATCTCAGTCTCCGCCTCGCCCCCAGTCCTAAATTTCGAATTCTCCGATTTCGGAGAAAGCTTCGACCTTTGCTCAAGGGTTTGTGGGTTTTGGCTTAGAGGACGGGAGGCAGCTGTGCTTAGGTTCTCGGGTCAAAAGAGAGCGAGTTTGATCGAGTTTTCAGGGTTTTGGTTTGGGGTTCAGGAGAGGAGGCGGGGACGATTGGGTTTGGGGTATGTGAGTATGAGTTGGATATGAGTGGGTTGAAAACAAAGTTGAAGTTGGGGCTTTTTTTATAGCGGATCTATGAGAGCCCGCTATCGATCTACTGATATTGATGACCATGGTGACTTTCTGCGGCGGTGAGCTGACAGAAAGTGATGGTGGTGGGAACGAAAGGGAAGATATGCATGAGGTTTTGATGGTTCGGTTGAAGGCTTGGGAGAGGAGGGGTGGATGAAGGGTGGGATGCGAGAAAGAAGATGTGGGTGGATGGGAGTTGCAAAGAGGTGAGGGGAAGGAAGGGGATCTGGGTGTGGGTTTGGTTTGGTTTTTTATTTTTAATATTTAGTTAATTTTATAATCTAGTTGGAATTGAAAGTGAGCCCCATCTCAAACCACGTCATCATTTAACAGGGAGATTGACAGAAAGCCTAACAGATGTTTGATATTGTAACAAATTTGTAAGATATGGTATGACATTGAAATGTTTTAAAGATGGGGCATGAAATTGTGATTGGTCCAATAGTTGAGGTAATTTTATATAATTTATCGTTTATTTTATTATTATTATTATTTTTTATTATAATCTAAAATAAAGAGTTTAAAGGAGCAAAAAATGAATAAAAATTCTAAATTAGTCAAAAAGGCGATTGCTTCACGTTAAAACAAGTACCAATACTCACGATTTTTTTAGTTTAGGGAATAAAAATTGAGACATTATATTTACATACTTCAAATTACTTCTTCCACATTTTTTTTAATATTTTAATATTTTCTACTCACCTTTTAACACTTGATAGAAAAATATTTAAAAATTAAAAAGATGTGGGATAAGTAATTTGGGATGTATGATTATGTGAGTATAATCTCCCATAAAAATTCTATGAAGCTGAAGTTGAGAGGCCATTTCGCAAATTACTTTCTATTATAATATTAAAGTGTGTTTTATTGGATCCAAAATTGTAGGTTTGTTCGATAGTATCGTTCCAAAGTTTGAATCCAGGGTTTAGGGTTCGTGAAAATGCCATGGCTAACGTGCACGAAGCTGACGCTTTTCACCATAGCTGGAGTTGCGATTCAAATGGTTGGCCTCTCCATCTTCGTCTTCGGCTTCTTCCCCGTCAAACCAACCCTTCCCGGACACAGGTACTCTGCATTTTCTTAGAATAATACCAACGAATTTATATATTCTTTTATAGAGCGTTAGTGTTAGTGGGTTAGACAATTAGTTGCTAGGGGAGGGAATTGGTGGGGATCGAACACGCACCAAGGTGCATAAGCATGATTGCTTTTTGCCGCGGTAAAGCGCCATCTCCTACCAACGAATGTATACATTGATAGCTTGAAACAGAAACAAATCAAAGAAAACAAATTGCAGAATTTTTTAGTTTTATATGCTCCGAGTTTGTTATAAATTGTCTGAGTTTATGTTGAATTGGGGTTCATTTCACTGATACTGCCAGTGGTTCGGAGAGTTTTCGAGCACCGCAGTGCGATTTGGTACGAAATGAGAGTGAGAGTGATCTGCATCCCCATCAGCTCAGGTCACTATATAAGGTACATGTTTCTTTCATGCTATTTTTGGGTTGGCAGCTTTTAATTTCACTCACGTCTAGTTTCGAGAAATTCGTCAGTCTTGCTCTTAGTGTGCACTTGCATTGGTGGGTATTTAGTATGTTTAGTTAGCTTCTGAATTGTTAGTTTAGGTGCCAACGAGGTAGTGAGGAATTCAATGGGGTCCAGGGCCATCCGTTTCCGGATAATATGTTTTCAATTTTGTTGAGATTTTGGGATTTTGACATAACGTGCACAATCCTGTGTTCTTTTGGAAATGTAGGAACTATCAGGAATGCCGCCTGCATTTGACCGACTAATACTAATGGTATGTCTAATTTGTCTCTGTAAACTATACCTGTCAAGGTTTTTGTGGTGGTTTGATGTGTTGGTTGTAAAAGATGTTATCTTGAGGATAAGATTTGGTTTGTCCTTTACAATCATGCCAGTTTAGGTTATTGATGGTCTTCCAGCAGAACTCGTGCTCGGCAAGGATGGTAAGCCTCCAAGCAAGGCGTTAATGGAAGCTATGCCATATACTCGGTCACTGCTTGCAAATGGAATGGCAATTGGGTTCCATGCAAAGGCTGCACCTCCAACTGTTACAATGCCTCGTTTGAAGGTTATCTCCATCACAATATTTTGAATATGCAGACAAACATTCTTGTATACGTCTTCTTTCTCATCACCCTTGGGTATAGGATTGCAGGCTATGGTTTCTGGAGCAATAGGGGGATTCCTGGATGTGGCTATGAATTTTAACACACAAGCTATGTTAGATGACAATCTTCTCGGTTGGTTAATAGATTGATCTTTAATGCTGTCATAGTTCAGTTAGTGTCTTGTTATGAAGACTGTCTTGATTTTCAATTTACATGTTCACATGTTTGCCTCGCAGGCCAGTTTTTCAAGATTGGTTGGAAAATGGTGATGCTTGGTGATGAAACATGGCTTAAGTTGTTTCCCGGATTATTTTTGAGGCATGATGGAGTCAGCAGTTTCTTTGTAAGTGTGAATTTACATCACCAACTTGTTACATGCAAAGGCATATGGTGATCATTGATTAAAGTTGCATAATCAGTTTTTGAATGCTAATGGAGTGAATGTTTGCGTAAGGTATCCTGTTTGTGAAAGCTTGGCTCTTTTACATGATCTATTTAGGCCATTGCCATTTTTGGTTCGCCAGTTTTCATCCAAATTTTCACTTTCAGAGTGTTAATTAATCTTGTGCTTGATCTTACTGCATTCTTGGAGAAGTCAAATTGGTTATTTTGTATCTGGGTTTGTAATGAAGATTGTAATATTTGCTTACTTGCAACATGCCCATTGTTCTATAGGTTAAAGATACTGTACACGTGGATCAAAATGTTTCTCGACATCTGGGTTATGAACTTAGCAGAGATGACTGGGATTTTCTGGTTAGTCTCAGTTACTAGACAATGTTGTCCTGCACTCCTAGCATACCTTATGAGCAACAGTATGATAATTATTGTTGTAAAGAATATTTGTACTCTTACTTTGCCAATTTGATAACTATCCCAGCATTTTTGTGGGTTTCACTCACAAACTGATTTTACAGGGTAGTTCCAAGTTTGTTTTATAGAAATATTTGAAGTAGTACTTCCATTATGATGAAAAAATCCTACTGTGAATGTATACGATTTAGATTGATCATCACTATTACTCTTTGGAAAAGTCAAAGTATCCACGTACATGCATTGTGTTGATTTAAAATAATATTGAATGATAAATTTGGTTTCTGCTTGGAGGCATTGCTTCATTTTTCACTTTTAACTGAACCTGCATTTCAGATTCTCCACTATTTGGGCTTAGATCATGTTGGACATATTGGTGGGCGCAACAGGTGTTCCACTTTCCTAATTTCTGTTGAATTTTCATTTGTTTGATTCAACGATCTTATTTTTTGTACATTTGTTTGATCATTTCAGTGCCTTGATGGCCCCAAAACTTCGAGAGATGGATGAGGTGGTGAAGATGATTCATATGAATAGTATACTAAATCAAAAGAATGATGAAGGACAGACACTCTTGGTTTGTCATTTCTCTTTTTCTAATTCTTCTTGTTGACCATAGATTCTTAATCATATCTCATGAATCTACAGCTGTTGATCATGGGTTTTTCATGTAGGGAGCAATAACCGATCAGCATTTTACCTACCTTGTTTTAAAAAATCCCCAGAACTGGCATAAATTAAGAAAAGAAAACGAAGCTTAACACAGAAGAGTAAATGTAACATGCATTCCTAGCTGTAGGGGTTCTTAAGCTGTTTTTTTTATTTTTTGGATTTAATTTTGAGGCACCGGTTGTATCATGTAAAACAACTGTTAATGTGTAAAACTGTTGTACATAAATACATGACATGCTCACTACCACTGATTGGTACAATGTTTTGTTAACATTCCATGCCAGTTTTCTCTACTTTCTTTATTTTGGCGGGGATAGAGAAAGCTATATCTTATAATTATTGTCTCTTTTGGCAATGTGAGGTTTTAAGGTGTTGTAGATTCTATATTGTCAGAAGCCTTTTAAAGAGCTGGAACTAATAATCACATCTTTCTATATCGTGATTTCTTATCTAGGTTGTGGTAAGTGACCATGGCATGACTGAGAGTGGTAATCACGGAGGGTCCTCCTATGAAGAAACTGACTCCTTAGCTCTTTTTATTGGCGTGAAAAATAACATCTCTGATCACTTCTTGTCCACCCATAACATTATTCACCAGGTAATTTATATATTGAATTGTCTGTTTACAGTGTTCTATGATTATTTGAATCGAAATGGGGTCTTCAGATTCCATTAAAGTGCAAGATGATTAAACTTTAATTCGCTGCCCTAGAGAATTTGGCCCAGAGTATAAGACCAATGTAATTCTTGTAACTCAAATTTATAATTAACCAATGGGAGCTGTTAAAGACACTCCAAAAAATTTACCCTGCACTCCAAACATATAGAAATATAAGAGTGAAATAACACTTGGGAGGACTGCAGGATAACTTTTTTGGAGTGCCTTTAACAGCCCCCTTCACCACATAGAGCCTAGAGATGGTTATTGTATCCTCTTCTGGTAGGTGATTTCTTATGTCTTCATCTCTTTTATGAAACTTAATTCATCTATGACCTGCAATTCTTGTGGTTCAGGTTGACATTGCACCAACATTAGCTCTTCTATTTGGTGTTCCAATTCCAAAAAACAACGTTGGTGTTCTGATTGCTGAAATTTTTGGGTATTTGTCTGGTTAGCTCTCTGTCTCTCTCTCCACACACATATCTTAAGATTGATGAAGTCCAATTCTAATAGGACCCCTTTTGATAAGAACTAAAAGAGGCATTGTTGTGGTCCAATGATCCAAACTGTCTAATTTCTTTAACCCTGTTTAAGAATCTTTCATGATTAAGATCAATAAAATCAGAAGTTGTTTGACTAGTTGATTATCATCATGAACATTTTATTATGTATAGGAGACACTGTATGTTAGATGATTAAGTGGTTTTTGTTGTGGGAATGATCCTCAAATGTTAACCTAACAAATGGACTGTTTGGATCATTGGATCCCTCTTTATAATTTTTGTATGTCACCATGTCTGAGTAATTTATACAATCTGTGTTATAGTTTGACTATGTGTATGCACTTGTTAATCATTATTCTTGGGTTGGTTGTAAGAGGTGTTGAAAGAATGATATTTGGATAATTTAAACAATAAAATTAAAATATTTCTTTAAGTATTCAGAGGATCAAACACTATGATACTGTTACAGCATCCCATTTTCCCTTGGTATGAATTAACGTTTTAGTGTTCACTTAAAATAGCTGTTACTGTTTCAGGGATGCTATTTAAATTGATTTGCTGTTGTCTCTTTATTCTTAATGACATTTGGATGCCTTCTTGGCTGATTATGCACAACAAATCAGCCAATTGACTTGTAATGATACTCCATTTGATTATATGGAGGCAGTTAGTGTTAGATTTTGGTTACAGCCCTTTTTGTAAGACATCCATAAGAACCTTTTAACTGGAAAGACAATAAAGGTAAATTTGAGTAAACTTGAAACAAGTGGAAGTTTGGGTAACAAAATTTTCCTTTTCTATCAGTTTATTTATGTAAATATGAATTCTCTAATTGCCTTGCAACAAAAATAATTTAATTTGTTTTTTGACAAATATATGTGGATGATTATTTTTGTTGCTTTGAACATATGAATTTTATAATCTATGGATCCCTATTTTAGTAGATAAATTATTGACTCTCACACTGAGTTGCAGCAAACTACTACAAAATTGTGTGATTTTCTGATGTTGTTTCTTCGTCTTTGGTGAGTAAAGAAGACCAACAGATGAAGGCACTGGAGTTGAATTCCTGGCAATTACTTAGATTATTGCAAGCACAAATACCTGGTTTATCATGTCGAAATTACCCACGTGATGGCTTAAGGGATGATCAAGACTTCAGAATAGCTAAGTGCTCTGGGAGCATGGAAGCGATGTTTTGCTGCCTATATACAAATGCTGCACTTCTCCAAAAGTCCTGGATGTCTAAGGCAATCTCCAGGTGATACATAATACCATCTGTTTTTGTAATCATCAGAAAAATCCATCAAGTAACGCCTCTAATTCCAGTCTTGCTTGGTAAATGTAAATAGGTCTAACAGTAGGGAAGACTACACTAGCACGGTTGTAGCATACTATGAGTTTCTCAGAACTGCAAGTGAGTGGTTGTCACACAGAGCAACTGATGTATGTATCTGTCTCCCTTGTAAATCTGAATAGATATTCTGATTGTTTTTTATGGACAGAGTTTTAACTGTTTCATTCTGTAAGTCTTAGTTTCTTTCGCACAACTTTTTTTACTGACAATTTTTTTTAAATTCTAGAAACCTGTCAGACTACTTACTGTCGGAATTGCTGCAATGCTCCTATCTTGTCTGATATTATTAAGCCTTCTATTTCATACATGCAAAGAAGTCTACCTTAGAGAGCAGTCCCTTTTTGACTTAGAGAGCATCAAGCAGACCTGGTATTTAGACGAGACTTTTGTATTAGGCGTAGTATTGATTCTCATTGTAAGTATGGCATCAAGTTCTATGGTAGAAGAAGAGCAATATATTTGGCATTTTGTGGCTTCCACATTGAATTTGCTATTATTGCGTAAAACAATAAAATGTCCTACAGGGGCAGGAGCACAAGATCTCCATAGTTCATCCAAGGGAAAAAACAAAATAAGTTTTTGTCGATTGAGTTCCATCTCTGTGGTTCTTATTTCTGGAAGGATATTGAGAGGCTGGCACCAAGGAGGTGTGAATTGGACTAATCTTCCTGACATTTCAAAGTGGCTTGAGCAGGCTGGGACTGATAATGTAAAATCAATTCAGCTAGTCTCATGCCTTCTAGTAATGAGCTTAAGCTTATGTGTTCTTTTTCTATTTGGATTCAACATGAAATTTGTTCTGGTGATTGGATTCAGCTTTCTTATGTCTGGATTGCTGGTTTTGCAACATTTTGTTAAACATCAAGATGGTATGTTTGCGTCATCGAGTTGCAGTACAACAACATTGGTACAAATAATTTATGCAATTATGGGTATTTCCACATTTGGGACTGTTGTAGCCTTACCATGGTTCGTACGTTTCTCAACATCTGAGATGGGCTTGAGTCATGATTTGTACATGTCAACTTCTGTTCCCAATGAAGTTCAAAATAACACGCTGCTGGTGAAATTAAGAGAATCTCTGTATCTAGTTGGGTGGGAATACATCTCTTTCTGGTGTCTTCTGCAACTGCTGCTTCAACAAACAATTAACTCAATGACTATAGTGTTGCTACTTGTGCAAATTTTGGCCAGCATGTTGTATTTTTCTTATAGTGGCCTGCATCAGAAGCAATGGGTTGAGGTCAGTTTCAATAACCTCTTGTTTTGAGTTAAAACTGATTTCAGTCTTGTGTTGAAGTCAATGTAATTATAGACCGGTCCAGTCATGCAATTATGTTGTACATTTATTTATTCCCTAAGCTTGATTTATTTCACGCACTAATACTTCATTTTACATTTGTTCTTGTAGATAGCTGCATTTTACTTTTTGGGAATGGCCGGCCATTTTGCTCTGGGTAACAGCAATTCACTAGCTACTATTGATGTTGCCGGAGCTTTTATGGTACATCTTTACCCTGACATGGTTTATATTATATGCAGAAAAAAAAAAAAAAGTATTTTTGGGGTACAGTTGCAGTATTTTTGAGGTCTAATTTTGATCGTTTACTCGTTGCTAGGGAATCTCAAATCACTCGACAGTACTTTCTGGAATTTTAATGTTCATTATCACCTATGCATCCCCAATGTTATTTATCCTTAGCATGGTGATGTATGTCTCTGTGAAGGACACAAGCTGTCTCCCATCTCTCGTGAATGCAGATTCCACACAACTCCTCAAACTGATGCTTGGCTTCCCTTGTCTGGTTCCGCTGGGGTTGAACTCCATTTTGCTAACAGCATACACCATCGTATTGCTGATAATGAGGAACCATCTTTTTGTTTGGAGCGTCTTTTCCCCAAAGTAAGTCTCACTGAAATAAGAGCTTGTATTAGTTTCAACTGATTGTTATAAAAAAATTTCTGTGATCATCTATATATTCTACTAGTGAACTCCTTGGTAAGATGTTGGAAAATATATATGACACCAATTTATATAGGGCAACGGTGAACATCTGTAAGAGAAGAATGACTGGAGAAAAATAAAGAACTTAAAACAAGAGTCATCTGTCAAGAAGTGTGAAACTCTTACAATAAGACCTTATCCATGCAATCCACATGATAACATACAATGAGAGTTGTAACCGGAAAAAAAAAATATTCGGTGACCAAAGATAAATAAAAATCAATCCCTAAATTCTATTTGTATGTGACGTACTAATTTAAGATAAAACCGCTATCTAAGCTTATGTTTACTTGTAAAGTACATATTAGTTTTCCTTGCATCCGCTGCCGAAGACATTTCGATAGCTAAATTGTGTACACATCCATTTTCCAGGTACATTTATGTTTGTACCACAACTATATGCGTCTACATGGGTGTATCTGTAGTAGCTACAACAGTGACATATACTTACTGGGTGCTGGGGTTGAGGAAAAAGATGCTATCTAAGCTTGGCCATCACCATTTAAGATAGAGCTCGACTGCGAGAGTAATGCTAGTTTTGTTGGCGGTAAACCAACAACATAGACAGATCATTCTTTTATATTTTGTTATCTTCCGCCAGAAGTTTTTTGTAGAGTTACCGAAACAGCAGAAATACGGGCTGATTAAAGTGTTGCTTTTTGGGTTAATTTTGTGTTGCAATAACAATTTTGATACAAGTTAAACTTAGAGGGGTAAGACCTTTTATAAAATCATTTCCAATACAAAGCAAACTGTTTCTTAATTTTTCTTTTTTTTCTTTAGGTCTTCCGCAGGTTCTCACTTTTTTATTTTTATTTATTTATTTTTTTTTTACTTTATTTTTAGCAGGAAGAAACAAACAATTTCTACTACCTTGGAAACCCCTTCAACACGTTATCTGTCTGCCCTGTCTACCTGTTGTACTTAATAAATTAAATTTAAAGGGCACCAGGTTTCTGCCATACAAATAGTAAATACAATCAGTGGCAGCTTCCCTCCACTCTCATGCTGCTTCCAATCCAACTTTTATTGGAGAAGGTGCTCCAATGCATCCGATATTTCTGACGTTTTAGACGTTATATATTTTGTATAAGCACACAAAAATTAAGATTTAACAGTTAAAATGTTCAAGATATGGATTTAGGCTTTGTCCTATCATTTTAGAGCAGCATACAACTGTTACATGATCCGTTTTTAACATATCATTATGCCATCGTTTTGTCATTGATATGTATTAATACATTCGTAAAGGCATATAATTGATATGTTGTTGTTGATATTTAATTTCGATCATTTCAACAACCACTCGTCAAAATTTTAGCCAATTACTTTGGACTGACTTACTGGGGTCAGATGATACAGTCAATACCATTGAAAATTTTGAAACCCTCTGCGCCTCCGTACCATCTGATCTTCTGATTAAGCCCAGACCGCACCAACTGCACCAAAAAGCACGAGAAGTTTGTGCCCCAAGCAACAGCCACGTCTCTCTCCCTGCCTGCCACCTGTAATGCTACGCATTACTCCTCTAAATGACCAAAATACCCTCACAAATTCCTGCCCAAAACCGGCAAATTTCCTCAAAACGTCATGCCCTTTTATGTCCATCAAAATCGTCCTCTTTAAAACGTGATTCCCTCTCTCCCCCTCTGAATATCCTCCTCACTCCACTCCGCTTCTCTCCCACAAAAAAAGCACAAAATCCCTGAAAAATCAGAGAACCAAACACAACAAAAAATGGAACATGCAAAATGCAGCAGCGGCAGCGGGTCGTCCAAGGCCCAAACACTTCTCAACCGCTCTGCCCATTGCCTCAGCCGCCGAGATTTCTCTACTTGCCGCAAGCTCGCTCTTCAAGCTCGAGAATCCGACCCCTACAACTCCGCCCCCGACCAAATCCTTGCCGTCGCCGACGTTCTGCTCGCCGCCAACCGCCAAAACCCACCTGACTGGTACTCCGTTCTTCAAATACCCCGACCCGGACCCGCAAACCCGACTCTCATCCGGACCCAGTTCGAGAAACTCAGCACCCTCTTGGAACCCGGCAAGAACCGGTTCGCTTTCTCTCAGGAGGCCATGTGGCTCATCAAGAAAGCCTGGTCCGTACTATCGGACCCGGAGAAGAAAACCCATTTCGAAAACGGGTCTGAGGAAGGGAAAGAAAGCGGAAAACAGAGAGAGGAGAGGGGAGGAATTGTGGGTAATGGGAAAAATGGCGGAGGGTATAATGGGGGAAAGACATTCTGGACTGTGTGTCCGTACTGCTATTATATGTTTGAGTACGAGAAGGTGTATGCAGATTGTTGCTTGAGGTGCCAGAATTGCAGGAAAGGTTTCCATGGAGTGGCGATAAAGCCGCCGTCAGGGGATGTGATAGTGGAGGGACAGGAGCAGTACAGTTTCTGTTTTGGCTACTTTCAAATGGGGTATATGGACCCGAATTCGAAGATGGAATCGGAGGTAGTTGACAAGAAAGACGAGAATGTGGTGGTGATATCCGATGATGATTCCGATGAGGACGATTTCGGTGATGGTAATGTGGGTTTTGAGGGAATGCATGAGGAAGTGGTGAGGAGTGGGAGTCATGGAGCTGAAGGGAAGACGCCGGTGAAGAGGGTGAAGATTCCGGCTGGGCGGATAAAGAGCACGAAATCAAAGTCCGTGGCGAGGAATACGAAGAAGATAATGGGGAATGGGATGAGGAGTAGGAGGATTGAGTTGGAGGATGTTGAGAGACTGAAATGTGAGGACATGGAGGTTGAAGAGGGAAATGGAGTTGGTGAGGGAGAGGGGGGTAGTGGGAGTGGTGGAACGGGAGGGATAGAGTTTTTTGAAGGAGAAGATGATATCTTTGTTGGAATTGGGGATAGTCCCATATGAAAGGAATGCACGGCTTTTCGGGGTCGTTGAAGGAAGCTTTCTGAATGGTTGAGGTAGCTAGTGGAAGGGTTTTCACAGTTGAAAGGAGACTGGATGATGACTCAATGAACCAGGTGATTTCATATCAAATCTGAAAATTAGATGAGTAGTTTATTTTGGTAAATTTAACCGACTTTTATCTTGTAAAAATGAAAAGTAAAGCAGAGGTTCTGCTACATCTCTTTGCTTTCGGTATAGTGCATCTGTGCTAGTGACTGACAGAGTGCATGCCTGTTCTACTTCTTTCTGACTGTGGTTAGTTTTGTGGAAGAACAGATGGGGCTTAATGAATTTGTGGACCGAAATTAACCTTATTATAAATCCTAGATTGACTCTCTTTTATCGGTTCATGCTTTGTTTAAACTTTGAAAAATGCTTTCTGTGAATGTTAATGAACAGTTATATGCTGCTCTGCTTGAGACTTCAAAATGTTTCAGTGAGTTATTGAACTTAGATTCTTAGAATGTTGGTTATCGCTCCGTTTTTCAGGGGCTCGATATCATCTATATTGTACCAATGTTATTACAAGTTGACAGCTTAGTAGTAATACGGAAGTTCTCCCTGTTCAATGTTCCTTTTCCCTTCTGGATTGGAGGATATCGAACTTTCACAAGTCTTCACTTGTTATTTTCCGCATTCTAGAAGAAAATGTGGTATAGCTATTACGGTTAATATTGTGGTAACAGATGAAATGAAAAAAAATGGATGGAGGTTTTCCTTGCTTCATATCCCTTCTTATTTCACAATTGAGCTGGTCTGTCTTATCAGTTCATACATCCTTTTATGGCAGGTCTGTCTAAGAAGTGTCCAGGCTACAATCATCCTTCTGAGCTTATTGTGTTGTTTAAGCTATATTATATATCCTTATGAGTGTCTCTTATTTTTCCTCACTTTAGCGTATGCTTCATACGAACCAACTTGGTTGTAGGACACATCATTTCTAAGTATAATCTTCAGGACTTTAGCGATCGTGATGAAGCACCTAGATTTTAATGTCAGTGAGAAAAGATGACTAGTTGCAGGTTCAACTTTTTTGTTGTTGTTACATTGTAACTTATCCCACATCAATGTTTTTATTTACATTGGAAAATGCTTTTCTATCCGATTTAGATGAAAGCAAGTTAAGCAACTTACATGACCACTAATATTAACCTCCCAGTATGAAACATATTTTGAAGCTTTTGTATTGTATTCAAAAGTTATAAAGCACTCTTGTACATGTTAATTATTTTATATTCGTATATACATAATTGAGTATGAGATGGTGTTGTTCAAGAAAAACAATAGCAATGGTGTTAACAATGTTAATGTACTGTATGGCTACTGCATTGTGTCTTCATTCCTACTGCTACTGCCCATGATTTGTGTATGCAAACTGTTATATTAGTCACTGATATGACATGCATATTTAAATGATTGCAGCTTTCTATAATCATATGTTTCAATACAATTATAATGGCGGCCGATCCTGGACTGGACTTGGAAAGTCAGTTTGATAAGTGTTTATTCTTGTTGGATGTGACTAATGTAGTTAGCCTGTTAAGAAGTTTAAGATATCTCCAAGATGAATTAGACAGAAATCTGTATATCGCATTGACAAAATTTGAAGAGTATGAGTTCTTTGAATTAGAATTCGATTTGGGTTTTTCTAGGTTGGGAATTGGGTTCTGGATTTTCTGCTAAATGAGTGATTTCCATGTACTGGACACTTCTTGAAAGATAGTAGACAACTTGGAAGTTGTGATATGTTTGTCTTCTTCTTTCTTGTTACCTTTTTACTTTGTTGTTTGTTGTTGGTGCTTTGGTGGTTGGGAATTTACGATTCCAACTCAACTAAAAGATGTGATGCGAACGAAGAGGAGAAATATGACTATACCTATACACGCCGAGATGTTACTGTGGCATTTCGAACTTATCACATGTTGCCATGCGTTTTAACTTCCCCACATGACGTTGTGGAGTGGTCTTGAGGTGTAATTATAGCATGTGTGGTGTTTCTTTTTCTTTCTGTATACTGAGCTCAGGTTATATACATATAATATGAGTTTGTTCAGGGAATTAAAACGTATGCAACCTATTTATATCACGTTTGGAAGTGCTTGACATGATCAGAAAATGAGACTTACAAATTTATCACATTTACTTAAATAACATTTAATAAAGATATTACATCATCGATCACATCTCTTACAAAGATAAGTTCCACGAATGTCACACATACTTAACAAATAGTTTTATTCTTTAATAAGACCTTGATCGCTAAACTTATTCACCCAACATCTTTTACAAAGATAATAAAGTTTCACGAATGTCACGCGTAGTCAACAAATTGTTTTATTCTTTAGCAAGACCTTGATCGCTAAACTTATCCACCCAACAGAGCATTCCACAATGCATGGTAACAACTTCATGCTTTGGCAAAGTCAATTGTACCCTTCCCATCATGAGCCTTGCGGAAGAAATGTCTGACATAGTCAGAGTAGAGAACTTGTTTATACACTGCTTTCTCCCCACTTGCAAGAACTTCCGGCAGCGGAGCGATCAAATCCGACGGCCTTGGGTTGACAAAAATGGGAACCGAAATCCTGTTCTTACATCCATTGGCTGCGACTCGATGCTCGATGCTCTTGTATCGTCCGTTGCTCATTATTTGCAGTGCATCGCCGATGTTGATCACCAACGACCCCTTCACTGGCGGAACATGAACCCAGCTCTCCTTATCGGTTCCGCGGACGTAAAGTCCACCGATGTGGTCTTGGAGGAGAATTGTGAGTGTTGAGACATCGGAGTGACGGCCGACTCCAACCGTGAGCTCAGGGTTTGGACACACCGGGTAGTAGTTAAGGTTAATCCGCTTGGATCCCATTAGAAGATGTTCCTTTTCTTGGTCAAGTTCTTCCACGTTTAGTCTTTTCATTAGCATTTCTAGGATTTGTTTTGTAAGAATGTCGGTCTTCTTCATGTATTCCAGCACTTCAGCCCTACAAGCATGCATGCATATATTAGATCATACGATAATTACATCTGTAAGTACAAGTACATAATTAAGGTGTTAAAAGAGAATAATACATAGGAGAGATTTAAGTGAAATCGTCCTTTCGCCTTATCATGCATGCTAGCATGTCAGGTATAACCATTTCGTGACGGGTATTTGGAAATGAAAAAGATTTAACAAATGACTTGATATGAGCAGATCGATCCACCGTCATGATGATACGATACGACTATTGTACGTACACTAATGATTCTCGACTGAACTAATATAATTATATGTATTACATTAATTCATTGATCATACTAGAGAAAGTATGGTCAACATACAAACACACACACACACACACAAATAGTTCTGATTTAATGTTGTGGTGTAAAGAGAAGATAGTAGTGCTTACTTGCATGCAGGAGGCCAGAATGCAGAGGCCTCATCCTCGGACACATAGAATAGACTAAGCCAATCTTTCCACTCCAAAGCCTTCTCTGCATGAGGACTAAAGCTCGTTCCAAACCGCACATTTTTTGAGGCCGAATGCTCAACCGAATACTTAGTCTTCTTCTCGGCTGGCAACTCGAAGAAGCGATGAGTTGCTTCCATCACATTCTCAAGCTCTTCAATTGGCACCCCATGATTCACTAGTTGAAAGAACCCCCACTTCTCCGCTGCATTGCAAATTGCTTCTGCAACTTTTGGGTCATCGGAGTTAGACATGTCGATGATGGGAATGTACTCTCCAGGGTTTGTTGTGGCCACAACATTCATAGTAGTAATTCTTTCTTCAAGGGGTTGGATATATTGCTTGGGGAGGGCTTTTAGTCCCATTTCTGAAAGACCCTTTACTCCATGACTTTTGCTTATAACAAAATCAGTGACGCTTGAAGGGTCGGTGATGGTTTGTGCCACAGGTGGATCCATTTCTGTAGGTTGGGAACGGTCCAATGAGGGTTGCAAAATTAAATCTTCAAAGAGGTCTCTGGCTTGAAGAATTGGTTTGACTATAAAGTGGCAGCAGAGGTATATTTATATTTGAGTTTTATTAATTAACAATGTCTCACCAAATGAGCTAGCAATTAGCATGCTTAATTTCTTCAAGCTTTGGGTTTAGGTGTGGCACTAGTTTAATTGTGTTCGGGTGACTATCACACAAACAATTGGTGTTACCAATTCTTCAGTAATATATATATATATATATATTTTGAAAAAACGATAATATATATTAAGGGGAAAGGGAGGTGAGCTTAGCCTCACAATGGGTTAACAATAATGTGGTTCAAATTCGCATTTAGCGAGAATCAAACCTAAGACATCTTACTTATAAGTGAAGAAAAAAAATACCATTAGATCGTAGTACTAAATGACAATTCTTCCATAATATTTATTTATTAATATTAAATTTTCGGCCTAATAAAATACCAATTAATTGTTTATCCTTATTGGTTAATAACATTATATGAATCATTCAGCTAGTCGCCATGCCAAATATATAGGTTAAATCTAATTCTACAACTTCTTTTTCTATTTGTTTTAGAAATGCTTTTATGAAAAATATTTTTGTTTAGAAGCGCTTATAATAATATTATATTTTTAATAAAAATACAAGTAATTTTCTGAAAAATCACTTGAAGTGCTTCTTGAAAAAAAATTATAGCAGGTGCTTCTTGAAAGAAGCTTATAGCAAGTGCTTCATGGAAGAAGAACTTGAAGAGTTTTTTGTAACTCAGAAACATTTTTAATCTTTTATGTCAAAAATTTTAGTCAAAGCACTTTGGGTGATATAAAAACGTTTATCTTCAAACCAATTATTTCCTTCCTCACTTCTTAGTATAAATATACTTTTATATCAAAACAAACACTTAAGAGGACTTTTCTTAGGTAAAGTGCATGAATTATGAAAATTAACAGACTAAAGGATAGTATAGGGGTAGGTGATCGTGGGTGCTTCATGTTGTATGCAGTATAATAGAAAAAATGCTAGTTATTTATTATTGGGGTTTTTTTTTATTTTTTTATTTTTATCACAAATAGTCTCTGAAATTGATCCACCCAATCAAGATGGCCCATGAAATTGAAAATCGATCAATGTAGTCCCTGAAAATGGCTGTTACAAATCAATGTGGTCATTTCATTATAATTCCTTTAAATTTTTTGTTAAGTGTTGATGTGGCACATAAATGGGTCCCACAAATTTAATTAAATATTATTATGTGAATAAAAAATATTTAAATAATAAAAAACAATTGTTATTTTTTATAATTAAAATTTTAAAAAAAGAAGAAAAAAGAAGAAGGAGATGATTGAACACTGTTCATCATCTTCTTCCCTTCCTATTCACAGAAATGATGAAATTGGAAGGAGAAATCCCAAAACTTTTCATGGTGTGGATTTTGGTTGTGGCATCACTATCCTACTTTCACACCGTTTGCAAGCTCATTTCTCCGGGCACCACCACTCTCCTTGCCATCCTGCCCGTCACATTCTTCTTCTACCTCCCTCTCAATCTGACCACCATTTTTCTCGGCGGCCCGTCCTCTTTCTTCCTCGCTTGGCTTGCCAATTTCAAGCTTGGGATTTCTCCTTCCAATGTCATCATTTATGTGAATATTTCTATTAATAGGAGGGGAAGAAGATGATGAACAATGTTCAATCATCTCCTTCTTCTTTTTTATTTTTTATTTTTTAAGATTTTAATTATAAAAAATAACAATTATTTTTTATTATTTAAATATTTTTTATTCACATAATAATATTTAATTAAATTTGTGGGACCCATTTATGTGCCACATCAGCATTTAACAGAAATTTTAATGGAATTGTGACGGAATGACCACATTGATTTGCAATAACCATTTTCAGGAACTACATTGATCGATTTTCAATTTCAGGGACCATCTTGATTAGGTAGGTCAATTTCAGGGACCATTTGTGATAAAAATCCTTTATTATTTTTATCTCATGTCATATGCAATATATTAGAAAGAAATGCTAGTTTTGACTAGTATTTTATGCAATATAACTGTCAAAATCTTTTCCGTCACTATGATGTGACCAAAGAAAAAGAAAAGGTTCTTAAAAATCTAGTAATATTTATGGGGCTAAATTACATTTGATCCCTCCCAAATACAATCTTATATGACATTTTTAAAATATTTCAATCTCGTACATTTAATAATTATTTCATTTCAATTTCATACAATTGCTAGAAAATTTGTTAAGTTAGATTTTGAATGATCACGTGGTAATATTAGGTTCCACATTTGTGCTAACGTGACTACCAACTTGTGCCACATGACCAAACAAAATATTTACCCATCGTCTTTCTTTTTTGATTACCTTCCTTGCGTATGTATAAGACTGAATCCATTTGATTTCTAAACAAGATTACATTTTGCACCCTCATGTTTGTGTTCAATTTCAAATTTATACAACATCATTAAAACATTTTAATCTCATAGATTTACTTATTATTTTATTTCAATGTCATACATCCGTCTCATAAATCTGTTAAACTAACCATTAAGTGATGACGTGGTAATAGTTGGTTCCATATTTGTGCTGACATAGCTGGTAAACTTGTGCCACAAGACCAAACAACTAATTACAAAACTATTTTGTCTATAAATGTTTAAAAAAAATTATAATTTAGTTGGCTTCTCCGAACTACTGTTTAAGAAAATTCAAATATGTGAACAAGAAATTAAGCAAATACTAATTAACTAAAATCAGATTAACTAGTTC